AGAGCAGAGTTTACGGGTCTTAAGATGTCTGTAATAAATATATTCAAGTTTCACATATGCTTACGCGGCCCTGAATTTGGCTTGGCTACAATTTACTGGTTCCAACAGCGTTGGCTCATTTCATGTGGGGAAGGGGAGAAGGGTGCTGTGCATTTTCAGAGGTGGGCCTTTTCTTGGAAAAAAAAAAAAAAAGCAAATGCTTTTCATTATGTAGCTGAAAGTTCCCCTATGAGTGTCATTGCACCTAGCTAATACCTACTTACTAGGTTGATTTTCTTTAAAATAACAACAGTTCCTTTATTATAATCCAAGTTCATACTGGAAAAAATGAATGGTGAAGAAATTTATGAAGCAGATCTATTTTTGAAACAAACACGGATACTTCCTGGGTCAAGTGCTAACCTTTTCACCTCCAACTGAATGTTGACGTATATATAAACAGAACCCCCTTCCAAAGCCCAAACTCTTCAGTCAGTCTTTCCTCACATCAGTGAACCAAGAGCTAAGAGATTCACATTTAATTAGCTCCAGTATAAAGCTGTTTGAGGGTGAGGCCTCCATCTCACCCTTCTTTCTTCTTTTTTTTTTTTTTGGCTTGTTAGACAGTGTTCCAATATATTTCGCCCCTTAAATTGAGTGGGGTCTGTTTTCAGTAAACCCTTGCGTCTCTCCTCCCATCCCTCCTGTCAATATCCATCCCTTCCTGCCACTCTCTACATGTCCCCCTGCCCACTCCCTCTGGGTTACACATCTCATCCCCATTAGATTCAGCTTCGATTTCATAGCCATCGTGGCTGTAATGGGTCTGCTCTAATTCTAAATCCATAACCTAGTTCTAATCCCATAACTCAGAAAAAAAAAAAGTTGTTATTTTCTTCTCTGGGCTCAGCAGTTTCTTTCAGTTGAACTTGCGGAAGCCTCTATGAAGTCTTCCGATATTCAAGTTGCTTCCAAACTGAGGCAGGTGTCTGCTCTCAAATAGAGGAAGCCAGCAAATCAAAGGCTCTCCTCCTAGACCTCTTACCACTTTTCCTTCACTTTCACACATTTTCAGAAGCTTTCATTTAGCCCCGAGAGCAGAGCAGAAATTTTACAGCATCACAAATACAGGCATCTGCCTTCCTTCCTCTCCAAAGGGTGTTTTACAGAGGATGGGCTGAGGGTGGGAGGAGAAATCCTACAAAACTTGGAATTTGCAGGCCTCCTAGAGCACCCATGAGATTTCCTGTACTTCCCCGCCAAAGGGGCAAGCCTGGACTTTGCAGGCGCGGTTGCTGCGGCCATATCAAGGGCACCCGCTGCCCTCCCCTCTTGGCTCCTGGGCTCTGGGCTTGCCTCTAAAAGACTCAAGTGGATGGAGGAGAACTTCAAAGTCGGCCAACTCTTTCTTTCAGTTCCCACCCTGGCCTTATACAGTATCTTTTGTTTATTAGTGTAAGGCCACACAGCAAAACAGATGGCTGGTTTCCAAATTCTTTAATGTGCTAAAGTGTCATTTGCATGCCACTGCCGTAATTTCAATATCTAAAAGCAGGGCCCGACCCGCTGGAATCCTGGAGATTCCAATCTCGAAGGTGCTGGTTTTAATGTAGCCGAGAGAGAGGAGAACGATAAATTATGGCTAAACATCCCAAGCCTCCTCTAGGTCATGGAATAAATCAGTTAACAAGCAATGCATTTAGGAAACATTAATATACCTTTCAACAAGGAAAACATTTGTATCTTTTTAGTTGTCCCAATCGATTAAATCAAAGGCGCTTACCACATCCTATTTCTAGGTCTCTCTTTTTCTGTCTTGGTCTCTGAGGAGCATGGTTAGCTCCTTGAAAAATGACAGCAATGGTGACTGAAACAACAAAAGCGGGAACACAGAACATAGCATTTTATTGATAAATTTAAAAAGGACAAGAGTCTCAATTAGGGACTTGGGATAATTGCGAGACAAAATTCCAGTTTTCCAATGCGTTCTCCTCACTTCCTTCACACTCATTCAAAGTCCTCCTGAAATTCAGGGTGCCCCCAACCTAGGCTGAGTTGAGTTCGGGCTCTCAAGTCTGCTCTCGGCTTCACCTTTGAAAGTTTACTTTTGGAGGCTATTCAGATGCCTTGGTGTTTTCCTCTGGGGCAATCAGATTCAAACCGATCAATATTTACTCAGTCTGAAAGGGTTGTTGAAAAGGCTGCTAACAACAAACTGCTTAGCTGCTCACCCCTGTTTAATCTCAGGTTCACCGAAAGTTCAAGAAGAGATGAATGTAGCGATGGGTCACTTTAGAATGAGTCCCAGCGGTTTATCTGAGCTCTCCGCTAAAGGCAACAATTATAGTGCCATCCCTCTTTGGGAAAGGGGCAACTTTCCTATTATTCTTTTGCTAAATAGTGTTTACTAGAAACTTAAAACACTTTCCTCTCCCTTCCTGGCTTTTTTTTTTTTTTTTGGTAGGTGGGGAGAGGAGTTTCCAGTTGCCCTTCTCCTCTCTTCTCCAGCTTTCTGCCAATCCGCTAGGTTTCATTTGACTTAAAATAAATTACACTGAATATTTTTAAAATGTTAAATTAGCCTGACAGAAAAGATCCAATTTATTTCAGATGCCAAGAGCTCTGAAATGAGGCTCTTTGGGCCGTTAGAGCTTATCTCCTTTGCGAAAGTACAGGGCAAGATTGAATTGAAATCCATTTGCGTTTGAGTAATATGGACAATCAGAGAGCCCCAATATCCATCTGAGATGACTTTTTAGACAGGAGGTGAGGGGAGGAGGAGGTAATTCACTCGTGCGAAAGCAAGTATCTCAAGTAGAAAGCCAACTTTAAAATTTTATGCTCTCCTAGTGCACAGACTATTGAGATGAGAAAGGAAGACGCAAGGAAGCCAGTGGGGAATGGAAGGAGAAGGTGCTGGTCACTGAAGCTAATTGCTACAGCTCTTCAGAGGTCAAAGTTCATGTAATCACCGCATAAATGCATACTAAATAGGGATTTATTAAGCTTTTCTGATGGCTGAGCACGTCTGTGGGAAAAAAACAAAACAAAACAAAACGGTCACTGCTGTTTCTGTTTCTTCCCCAAGAATAATCATTCTAAGCAGTAGAAGCTCTTGGAGTCTGAGTCTTTAATTTACTGTTTTGAATGACAGGCTACCCCTCTGTTTTAAAATTTTGAAATCAATGCATGGACAACAACTTTCTTTATTTTGGATGGGACCCTAAAATAACTCTCTCACTCTTAGAAATGCTATGATTTTTGTCAGTACATACAAGGACACAAGTTAGCATGTCCTTATCAGCGAGGCTATTCCCTAGATGGCTAGCTTTGGTGACTCTCTGTTGTGGGTAAGCCTACTCTTTTTGCCTGCATTTCTGAAAGCACACAAAAATCCTGCCTTAGGACTTCTGGTGTGTAGATGACCAGAACTGAAAGGGACCCATTTACCCAACCTCTTGTTTTATGCATTGGAAAGATAAGGCACCCAGAGGTGGACTGGTTTGACTTAGTATCTTCCTAAATAAAATCCAGGATAGCTTAGAATCTGAGGCCACTGCATTTCTTGATTCTAAATTCCTGATTTGATTTTGCCCCTTCTCATTTATTCTATGTGATTTATTTCAGGCTGGAGATAGTTCATGTTTTTCCACTTCTGATTTACTAGCCATCCACTCAATCAAGTCCTTGATTTTGAAGCCACCAAGATTATTTGAATCTTTGAAACAACCTCCCAGTTGAATGTTTCTGCCATCTTGTTTGAACAATACAATGTTGGGCTACTTGATGTTTAAGATGTATGTCTTAAAATATAAAAATAGAACAGGTAAAATTCAACACACACATATTTTTGTTGTTGTTTTTGAACCTAGACTAGGGAAGAATAAATGAAAGAGGAGTTGCCTGTGCCCAAGTTCAACTTCCATTAAATTGTCAAGAGGTGTCAGCTAGAAAGGGCTTGGAAAGCAAGGAACATTCCAGGAGGTGTCTTAACTCTGAATCTTTTTGTGTTTGTTTCTGTTTGGTTTGTGACACAGCATAGCCTCCTGAACACTGTTCTGTCTATATTTCTTAATTTTCTAAACGACTCACTCATGTACCAAACACACATACAACTTAAACATAAAATTTCCTTGCAATACAACTTTCCACGTTTTCCTTGCTTGGTGGGGTCCTACTGGTCTCAGTAGAACCTGCTGCCTAAGGGGAAACCTACGGCTGTCAGTGTCTGAAGACCTGAACTGGAAGCCTCAGCGCTTGGGAGCCTTATTTCTACTAACACCAGCCATCAAATATAGTTGGCCTTCGATTGCAGAACTGAAAAGCAAATACCAATCAAGCAACTCTGCTGGTGGAAGCTAGTCTATGAACCACCCCCCCCCCCCGGCCCAATCTCACCCCCCAATTATTTCCTGTAAAATATTCTGGAAAGACTGCATTTTGGGTTTGTTGGAAACAAATGAAAAGACCGACGTTTCCTTTCCTCAACATTTCCAGACACGACTAAAATATGTGTCTCCATTTTTTAAACAGCCCATTAAATGTTTTCCTATTTGAAAACGTGGTGGAAAGCGTCCAGCCACAAGCCTAATCGATAGAAATCAAGATTGTTTTGCGTTTTCATTTGAAGCTTGGTCTTTTAGGGTTAAAAGACGCCACGGCCTGCAACTGAAAATAAAGGGGGTAAATTACAGATTTTTTTTTTTTCCTTTTTAATCTGGGATACTTTTTAGCCACACTGGACATTTCACAGCCTGCTTCCTTTTAAAAAGAAAAGTCGCCACAGAACCATAGCGAGAATGCAGAAAGCAAGGATTTAAACAAGTAGACCCCCCCCTCCCCCCATCAGTACTACTGTTCCGGGAATAGTCTCATTCGGAGGAACAAATGAGGTCCTTCCTTTAGGACGCGCAGGGGCAGCTGCTCGAGGCCCGGGGAGCGCTCGACTCGGGCCATCGGCTCGCGGGGCAGCGGCGGCCGCGCGAGCTCGCGCTCCGCCAGCGCCGCGCCGGCCTTGGGGCCAACCGCGGGGCCTCCTGTGGTGGGGAGAGGCCGCCGGGTCCTCGGCGCCCCGCAGCGGTGGCGGGGAGCCCCGCCACCGAGGTTAAGACGTCTTTCCGTGCTTAGCTTCCCCCCGCCTTCTCTCTCCGGATTCTTCGGCAAACGCCGCCTCTCCCTTCCCGTCCCGCGCGGGCCCCACGCGGAGCGGGGCGGAAGCAGCTTCCGGGCCCTTCGCGGGTGTGCGGGCGGCGCGGCCCTTCCGGCCCCGGCTGGCAGCGAACCGCGCGTGGGTCGGGGCACGTCCCCGGCGGCTGCCAAGAGCCCCGCTTTGTCTCCGGGGACCGCTGGGCCCCGCGTTCCCTCCTTCTTTCCCCGCCAGCCTCGCCTAGCTTCCAGGTGCTCCAGGAAGTGGCCGGAGCGGAGACTTGCGGCCTCAAATGCCTCAGACGGGAGCCTGCCTTCTCCTGGTGAGGGCTCAGGGCTTCCAAACCCTCAACTCACAACGCCGGGGCAGAAGCCTAGCCCCCGGGTTCATCTTTTAAGATGTGAAGGCGGGGGGGGGGGGGGGGGGGATTTTACCCCCTGCTTGCTACCGCCTCCCGGCTATTTCCAAAATACATTTAATTGAGTAACATATTCATTCTCCTCCTAGTTCAGCTTAAGGTGAACTAGGGTAGACGTGGGGGTTGCAGGAGTGGTGAGTAGAAGTTTCTGAACATTGGATGTTCCTAGAGAGACTAGACTAGTGCTTTTCTAGTCGGGGGAACTTCTTGCCTCTCTAATGTTCTCGCCCCCATTTCAGTTGCAGAGTCAAACCCTGCCTTGCCTCAAGTCTCACTTCTAGAAAGTTTCTAGAAAGTTTCTAGAGAAGTTTCCTGTACTACTTCCCACTCTTTCAGCTGAGCCCCTCCTCAAAACGCCACCTTTTACACGGGGAGCTTTGTTCTACCGTACTGAACTGTGACCGTGAGACTGTGAACTAGACTATCCATTTGTGTTAGTCTTGGCTCCCCCAAGAGGATCTCAAGCTTCTTGAGGGCAGGGCCCTTGACTTCCAGTAACCTGAAGGGTTGGTTTCTATAGCATCAGTAGGAGCTTAAGTTATAAAATAAGGTGATTGTTCTTGTTGACTTTTAAGTATTTCTCTAAAATGTATATGGCTTCTCAGTATCCTGAAAATTTGATATGTATCCTGGATGACTCTGAGCCAACCTCTATGTCAAATACTACACATACATTAACTCGTTTAATCCTTACTCAGCCTCAAGCAGGAGGTATTTTTAGTGTATTTTGATTTTACGGCAAAGGAAATGGAAGGGTCCAAGATGTTAAGTAACTTGTCCATTGAATCCAGAGCCCAAACTCTTATCCCCTGAATAGTAGTGCTTCTCCACAGGGCCAATCACATGAACCCTCTACAAAGAGTTATCAGCCATCTCCGTTCAATTCAAGGACTATGGTGGGTAATTGCTCATTGGTAAAGAATTAGCGGGAGAAAATGATTTTAATATCAGACATATATGCAAACTGTAGCTACACATTCTTGGGAAAATAAGCAAATGACAAATACTTGCATGAAAACAAAGCTAAAGAGAGAGATCAAATTTATTTAAAAAAAATTTTTTTTTCAACGTTTATTTATTTTTGGGACAGAGAGAGACAGAGCATGAACGGGGGAGGGGCAGAGAGAGAGGGAGACACAGAATCGGAAACAGGCTCCAAGCCATCAGCCCAGAGCCTGACGCGGGGCTCGAACTCACGGACTGCGAGATCGTGACCTGGCTGAAGTCGGACGCTCAACCGACTGCGCCACCCAGGCGCCCCAAGAGAGAGATCAAATTTAACAATAAAGTCCATGAGAGAAGTAATTAACAATAGGAGGCTTTTTTTCAAATCTGGCACTAATTGATTAAGGGAATAATTTGCAGGGAGAAGAAAGATACCCTTTATATGCACAAGTTCTGTCTGTCACACACCTAACAAGTGGACAAAAATGGGAATATTCAATATGAAATACAGATGTCTTGTCTCCATGAAAGTAAGCATCTGTACAACTGGAAACATTTGCACAATATTCCATCTTCCAGTTTTCATTTGGTTATTTTATCCACTGCAAATCCAGTCACAATTCACATTTGAAGAAAAAGAAGAGAAGAATTTATCTTCACTGGAAAGCACTAGTCTTCGTAGTTTACAACTTAGCACTTACAACTTAGTGCCTGACTGCCTTAGTCAGAGGATCATGTGACTCTTGATCTCAGGGCAGTGAGTTCGAGCCTCGTGTTGGGTGTAGAGATAACTTAAATAAATAAAACTTAAAAGAAACCCCAACTTTGCACCTCTTGATTAAGAGTAACCAGAGGAACCAGGCTGAACAAGAACTTGAAGAAATATATTATGAGGCCTAAAGAGAGCCAGTTTTTAAAAGCCAGTTATTCCCAGTACTCAATTTACACAAAGTCAGGTTAAGAGTTGTATGTAGAAGAACATACTTTGCTTCTTCCTACTCTTCTAACTTTTGTAAGTGAACAAGGACTTGGCATAACTACAAGCATTATAATAGTACTGATATTATTTAGTTACGGAATTACAGATCATCTAATCTGGTCTTTCTATTTAACAGGTGAAGAAACAAGCCCAGAAAGGTGCTAGCAGCAATAGTGGTAAGAAAAAATATTTGCTTATATCTTTACTATGTACTAAAGTGGACATTAAAAATGGCAGGCAAAATTAATCTCAGGATAGATATCTTAATAACATCAGTAATTAATTACTATATTAAATATAGTAATTATAGTAATTACACTAATTATTAAATATTGAAGATCTAAATGTTATTAAGAATAGATGGATTTGGATAACTAGATATATGGCCAGAGGGTTTCTTCCTTCCTACTTACCTCTGTGAATCCTACAGAAAGGGTGGCTGTTGAAATCCCTCTTATCCCATGGGTAAAGAGAAACTGAAGGATCCATTTTATTTCTTCCACTTCAGAAATTCTTTATATGGTTTGACAGATGAGACAGGAACAACATCAAGAAGAAAGCCAAACTTCTTAACTGTCTTGCCCAACCCACTCAGACAGCATGTTAGCTTCCTTGTTGCTGCTTGATTCAGGCACCATGAACTTGAGGGCATTCTGGGACACTGGTGTGTTCCCCATGGACCACAAGGACTAAACTTGCAATTCATTATGTTATATAAAAATGAACCCCTCTACTAGAGACATCCAGACTTTAGCAACTTGTGACAACTTATGTTTTTTAATGTTTATTTATTATTGAAAGTCAGAGAGAGTCAGAGCGTGAGCAGGGGAGGGGCAGAGGGAGAGGGAGACACAGAATCTGAAGCAGGCTCCAGGCTCTGAGCTGTTAGCACAGAGCCTGACGCGGGCTCAAACTCGCAAGCTGCAAGATCATGACCTGAGCCAAAGTCGGATGTTTAACTGACTGAGCCACCCAGGCACCCTGTGACAACTTATTTTTTTTATGTTAACGTTTATTGAAGGCTTTCTTTGTATCTGATGCTGAGCTAAGAGCCTTATATACATTACTCTTCACCATAGCCTTATGATGTGGGTTTTATTATCCCCATTGACAGATGGAGAAACTGAGGCTTACTGAAGTTTTAGAAGTTTCTCACCGGAACATAATGAGTGGTTAGTAAAGTTAAATTTGCAGCCTGTTACGGTTAAATCCTCACATGTTGAAGCCTGACTTCTTAAGAATGTGAGAATAATGTAAGACTAACCTTAAATTTAACGTTAGCTTTAAAATGTTTGTATTTTAGGTGTTAGGGAATTTCTCACTGTGAGTCAGAAAAGGTTGCACAGCCATAGCGAAGGTGTTAGGGATGGCAGTACCAGGTCTAGTGGTTTAGCATCAGGGTTCGGGGCAGGGGCAGTTGTCTAATCAGACTGGCTCCAGCTGCTAAGCTTTCCATTTATCTAACTTGATTTTCAGTCTCCCTGGCAATTTTCTGAGCTACGTGTATCTTCCATTTCCGCTTAAATCACCAATAGTCAGTTTCTGTTGCTTACAACTAAGAATCCTGATTCATGTACCATGTGATATACCAAATGATGCTGCTTTGAAATTTTTTTTTTTAAGATTTTATTTTTAAGTGAAATTCACAACCCTGAGATCAAGGGTCGCATGCTCTACTGACAGAGCCAGCCAGGTGCCCCAATGTGCTTTGACATTTTTTAAGACCAGTGGGCTGTGGCTAGGAATTGTGGGAGGGAAGTTGGACTTATAATGTAGAAAGTATCTATATAATATGGGCCAGATGGCAGCTTCTTCAGATTCTACTTTCTCTTTTTCCCTACCTTTGGGCTCTTTTCCTTTTTTAAGTTTTATTTATTTAAGTAATCTCTACACCCAATGGGGGGCTTGAACTCACAACCCCCAGAGAAAGAGTCACATATTCCTTCGACTAAGCCAGCCAGTTGCCCCGGACTCTTCTAATGCACACCCGTTTGGCCTTGTTAAATCTAAATAAATATACTTAAAAAGCTAAAGATGAGCCTGTGCCCACCAAGAAAGCATAAGTGTATCTCATTGAGTTGTAGAACATAGCTTATTTTCTATTTTATTTTACGGTTTTCCTATCTCCTCGAGTAATTATTCTTCTGAAGCTGACCCTTTATGTACAACAGTAGCTGATACTTGTTGATAGCTTACATTGTGCTAGGCACTGTGCTGAACACTTCACATGGATTGGCTCATTTAAATCCTCTCAACTATGAGGTGTAGGTAGGTACTGTTATTACCCCTATTTTAAAGAAGAGGAAATTAAGAGGAAAGGTCACCCACATAGAAAATGGCAAAGTTCACTCTTAGCGTTGTGGCTCCTGAGCACTTATTCTTCAAAACATTGTATATTCTCTTCCCCCTAAGTGGCTTGACTGATCCAACTTTTTTTTCCTTACCCTTCCTCTTTCTCATTTTCTATCTCTAGTTTTTTTTCTTTCTTTTTTTATTAAATTTTTTTTTAATGTAACTTTATTTTGGAGAGAGAGAGATAGAACAGAGCACGAGCAGGGGATGGGCAGAGAGAGAGGGAGACACAGAATGTGAAGCAGGCTCCAGGCTCTGAGCTGTCAGCACAGAGCCCGACGTGGGGCTGGAACCCACGAACTGTGAGATCATGACCTGAGCTGAAGTCAGACGGATGCCTAACCGACTGAGCCACCCAGGCGCCCCTGTTTTTTTCTTTCTTAATTGAGAATGACATGAAAGCATCCAGTTCAGTCCTTAATTGAGCATCTGTAATTGTGTGAGGTGACTGGTCGGGTATCTCTCAGCTGCAGGTGCCCTTGAGAAGCACCGTTTGGTTTGCTCTTCTGGCCCTAGGAATTCCTTCTGACCTCACCTTTTCCTGACCTCCACTATCTCTGTCCCTCCCCACCCACTTGGAACTTCTGTTCTCATCTCCTCACTCTGGTTTTTCTTGCTGTCTTATATTTGAATCCTGTCTCATGACTTTGCTCCTTCATTAATCAAAACACTTATTCAGAGATGATGTGAAATTTTACAGAGAGAAGGTAGCATCCTTTTTCAAGGAGTTTATAAATCATTATGAAGCATATAATCTACTGCCTAGTTTATGTGATGTTACATTATTTATTAATATTTTTATTAGAATTTAGTTAGGCATTTAAGCTTTAGGATTTTATTATAAAAGTCCTATAGAACGGGGGCACCTGCTGGCTCAGTAGGAAGGGCATGTGACTCTTGACCTCAGGGTCATGAGTTTGAGCCCCACATAGGGTGTAGAGATTACTTGAAATAAATAAATAAATAAATAAATAAATAAATAAATAAATAAATAAGTAAGTTAAAACAAGTCCTATAGAACAATTGGAGTTGACACTCCTTTCTCTCCAAAATGTGTCACTTGAGAATAAACCTCTAATTCTGGTTGGGGCAGTGATCAGCGTGTGATTTGGGTTGAATGCTAAGGTTTTATGATGACATTTGCTGGAGAAGACAAGGTATCTGGTAAATGTTAACATAAACTACATGCCCCAGATTGACTGTGAAAGACAAGGGAATGGAAAGAGAAGACAGTAAGAATTATAGAAACTTGGGGCTCTTCAAGTACTTGTGAGTCAGGAAGGAAGAAAAGGGAGGATAAGATAGATGGAAATGACCCTGGGGAGATTGTGTGTTTAGGATAAAGGAGATCTCATTTTGGGAAAATTCTGTAGATGGAATCTAAGGATATTACCAAGTCAGACAAAGCCTTTGTGGTTTCAAGGTGATCTGTTTTTCTAGATCCAGTGCTGGAATATGTGAGAGGTGAAGAAATTAAAAACAAAACAAACCCAACTATGGTTTAGTTTAAAAAAGAAAAACAGGGGTGCCTGGGTAGCTTGGTCTGTTAGGCATGTGACTTTGGCTCAGGTCATGATCTCATGGTTCATGAGTTTGAGCCCCATATCGGGCTTTGTGCTGACAGTTCAGAGCCTGGAGCCTGCTTCAGATTCTGTATCTCCCTCTCTCTCTGCCCTCCCCTGCTCATGCTCTGTCTTTCTCTCTCTCTCTCAAAAATAAACATTAAAAAGAAGAAAGAAAGAAAACCAGAGTTAGGAACAACTGTAAAAGCAAAGATAACTTACCCATAATTTAATGTGTCTGTGCAGTTATTCATGTATGTGCATATTTGTCTCTTTAGGAAGAGCCTTTCCTCCTAAGGCCACATCACTCACATTGTTCACCTGCCTTCTTGAATTCCCTCCAAAGAGCCACACTCTTTCTTCCCCAGGGAGTTTGCAACCTGGGATGAATCCCCTCCCACCCCCATTTTCCCCTGAGACTTTGAGGCCTTAGCTAAATGATGCTTCCTCAGAGAGACCTTAACCTAGTACCCTCTGTTTCCTTTACGCACTTAATCACGGTTCGCAAATGTAGTTTTATATTTTTTGTCTTTATTTCTTGACCAAAAGCAACTAAATCCTGAAACGCATAGTGTTTTCCCCCACGTAAGGTTCCTGTTGGTAACTACTAAATAGACATTGGGTTAATGTTTATATTAACAAGGGTCTGACTAGGCTGCTGTAACAAAGGAATCTAAAAATATAGTGGCTTAAACATGGCTGGAGTTTAGTTCTCTCACGTGTAAAATTTCAGAGGAAGGTAGGAGCCCAGATCGGTGGGGTGCCTTAGCACCGTGAGGTCATTCACAATCTGAGTTTCTCCCACTGTGCTGCTCCAGTGTCCCTAGGTCTTGTCCACATGGTATATCCATGCCACCTCCACATTCCCACTCTGTTTTGTAGGAACAGGGGTAGAGTGAAAGTAGAGGGCAAGCAATTTCCTATAAAGTAAGTGACTTGGAAGTGGCTCACCTCCCTTCCACTCACATTTTATTGTGATAAACTTAGTCATACGGCCACACCTAGCTGCGAAGAATACTAGGAAATGCTGTCTCTGGGTGGTGTAGTCACGAGCCATCTCAAATGGAAGAGGGAGGGGTGTCTGGCTGGCTCAGTCAGAAGAGCTGGCAACTCTTGATCTCGGGTCGGGGTCATAAGTTTGAGCCCCACTTGGTTGTAGAGATTCCTTAAAGAAGTAAATAAACTTTAGAGAAAAAAGTAAACAGGAAGAAGGTGAGAATGAGAATTGGGGATTAACTAACCATCTGTTCCATTGTTGGATA